TCTGATAAATTGTACTTGATTTGATGTAGTGCAAGTATTGTTAATGAAAAAATGTGATAATTTGTATCCTCACCACTGTACATGCATTTCTATGGGCTCTGTGCGCACTGTTGTGGAGCGCGGGTCGAGATGGTGTAAATTCGAGAACACAACACAAATTCAACTTTGAAGTAATCCCGAACAACCAAATTTATACATGTTACACGCGTAGGGGTAATATTGTTGCACTGTTCAGGGGAGTCTCGACAACCATTCCAAAGTACAGTTTTCTGCGAGTTTTTGGCCTTTGTTTTCACGCCAAGGGGTGTCAATGTCCCCCCGAAGATACTAAAAATTACAATCAAAAAATGGTGCTTGATGTTTTGGCTATACCAGCTTTTAAAACTGCAGTGCTGCAATTCTGCTTGCAATGCTACTATAGACAGAAAAAAAATAACTGCTGTTCTAATACAAGATGCAACACCATGTGTGCTCCCTGTTTTATTGACATCAGACTAGAACAATTAAGGTCTGCATTACAAGTTAACTGTATTTTCCGACTGGAAGAGTGATGACTTTGAATGTTTGATTAGAAAACTGGAAGGCATCATGGCCTCCGGATACTTGAGATATGAAAGTTATTTTCAGGAGTGATGCAAAATTTCCTGTGCCCATGTTTTCATGAGGGAAACAGTTTATTTAATAATTTATGTCTAGCTAAATAATGCCAGGTCATCTACATAACAGGTGTGAATTTTATTAAGGTAATGTACAGCATTAAAAATATGGTCCAATGATTTATTAATGGTGTGAACAGCAGAGGAGACGAAGTGTTGTATACCCAACTCTCAATTTATGCTCTGGGGCATATGTCGTATGATGACTTAGATTCTTACGGCTGAAAATAGTTTCAGGCGTAACATCCACACTTATGGGAAGCATCTTGTAAAAGTCGAGAGGCCTTGGGCAGTACGGCTATGAGGTGTGATTGGCGACTCTGACCACGACAAAAACGCGAAATGAATATAAACTTCAGTCTTCGCCTCATCGCTGTCAGTGGAATGGTACAAAACAAATGACAATTCGGCGCATTGTCGTGCACGTCACGTGACAACGAAAGTATTCTTGAACAGTTGACATCTATATCATTATGAGTCCCTCATAGACTAGGACTTTATAAGTACTGCTAACAGTTGAGAGAGACCTTTTATTTACAATGTACCTCCATACCAAATATTGACACCTGGCCATGCTGCTAAGTCCAGAAATGCATAACACTAACAAATGTTCAAATTAATATGTTGCGGTAACTTATCTTCAGATAAGAAACTGATGAATACAAATCGAAAAACTAAGTTTTGAGTCACAGAATAAACATGCGGCCAAAACAACGTGTCCCGTGACCAAGAGTGGTACAATGTCGACTGAAGCATGTGGTGTAAATAAATAAGGTAACTATATTTGAATATATATGGCATGTTAACTGTGATATGTTATTGAGGAACAATTAAAGCACACAACCTTTGGTATAGTGTGGATGAAAGGCAATTTATGTTTACAAAGTTCGATCGTTTACTGTCAATAAATGTTGCCTCCTTATTCACTGTCCCTAGCGTTTGCGTACACCACGACATGGGGAATAGAGCATTTCCGTTGATTTTACAACAATAATCGGCTTTATTATGAGGTAGTGTTCTTGCCGTTTACAAATTGTGAGTGGTAGCGCTAGATCATGTGTCGTATAACTTAGACTTCTATGACTGAAATATAGTTTTTGTTATTTGGAACATCTCCTGTTATGGTCTTCTCATAAAATGAATTTTATAAAAATAAGACATGAAATAAATGAAATATTCAAATCTGGTAAAATGTACCCAATTTGTTGCGGTGCAGGTATTTTTGTGCATGTGCAGCTAATACAATAAATGAGGCATTGAACAAGAAATATTACTGACATCTGATGGTCTTTTGGTGGTTTCAATGTGTTTAACTGCGAGATCTCGTATAGGGATATTCAACCACTGTTCATAGGACAAGAAACATAACTAACATATCAGATGACCATATATGGTCATGTTACCTCATTAATTATGCCAGCATATTAAATTCATTGTAGATATGCATATATGCAAAGAAATGTTTGATATTGAAAAATAGTATTCGGTGTGTTAACGCAACATAATTTATACATGCTACTCAGATCCGGTCTTGCTGTGCACCTATACTTATTATCTAGTTAAAATAAATTAGTCTATAATTAGCTTTCCCACAAATATAATAATAAAAAAAACCTTACAGATTTTAATGATGCTTAATTTATGCTTGAAATTATGCATATAAATTACCCAATTTACATAAATTAGCCACTTCCCATTTATTCCACTGATATCTTGAATAACATAAAATAGAACGTAGTAATTTGAAGCTCTGTGGTAAATCGCTGATGCGATTAAGTTAAGAGTTGACAATTTATTAAATTCGACAATTTGTTGATACATCAAAAAGCATTTCTCAGATTGAAATTAAACTTGTTGCATAGGTGATCTGGGATAAGTCACAGACAGCAACTCGGTTATCGTTACAATTAAATGTGTTTCTCTGCTTAAAAGGGCGGTGGTCATCGCGCCGCGTCCTGTTCGATGTGGGACTCACAGCGCGTATACAACGCATGTAAAGTACATTGTTAATTTAAAAAAAAAAAAAAAAAAAAAAATTACATGAAATTCTAACATTATTCATTTTGCCATAAACTGTACTCCAAGGCAATATAAGGATATTGACCTAAAAAAAAGTTGGGGTCACCAGCCTTTTTTTCAAGAAATTGATGGCTGTATTTTAGTGGAAAGTCACCATTTTGACACTATTATAACACTTTTACCACAGCAGAGATTTATGCAAGATCTCAAAATCTAGCCGGGTGACATATGCTGAAAAAAATCATATATTGTTAATGACGGAGTACTTTTTGTCTGGGTTTTAAAAATTGTCAAAAAATGCAATTTTTCTTTTTTTTCAAGATAATGCTATTTAATTATACCATGGGACATTAGCTTCATGAATATACATAATAAACAAATGAACATTGTTATGCGATTTATGACCAATTTTGTCAGAAATTATGAATAGGCTTCTAACTTAATGGTAGTTTAAACCCTTGGTCACATTGCAGATCTGTATTAGACACGAGGTTTCTCGTTTAAAATGTTTATTTGAAATTCTGAAGTAATTTTAAATGGTCCCTATTTCAAATTTATGTAAATTACATGTCGTTTCTAAGCATGCTTGCTGTTTAGAAGGTATATTTGGTTCTCTGCTTACATATTTAATGTTGTATTTACGGTAATTCTTATTTGTTGCACAAAACTTCTGTCTGAGTGCGATACAACTGGTATTTCATACAAATATCAAGGGGGAAATTCTCTTCTGTCGGGTTCGGGGTTCTCCAACACGTTTCAGGGGAAATTCTTGTCTGTCTCTATATCTCGTCTGCTTGAGGTACCGGACCGGGAAAGTCACTTAAGCTTCAATAACTAATCTTAAGCCACATCGAGAACGCCTCAAGGCGAACTGCCTCGTCGGGGTCTCTCCCCAGCACTCCCCAAGACTCTCTCGCCTCCTGGAGCTCGCTCTCTCTCTCTGTGACCAGGGACTTAGACTGTTTATTACTTATCAAAACCTAACCAATTACAAAGCAGTTTAAAGACATAGGGCGTAACCTCCATACATTAAATTTGCACATAGCCAATCACACTAAGTACTGAACACGTCATATCTTTTGATTAATCGTTCACTATATTACTAACTGCGAATACCCAACTGTCAGAAATAGTAGTCCGGATGGCAACGGTTATATCGTAATTAGTTCCAAATCAATCACTCAGTCAAGTTCCGTCCAGGACCTCGCATGAGCCTAAATGATGACAGATATAACATAGCCATTCACTAGTAATCAG